GCTAAATACGTCGGACTCCGGTGACCAACACAAACCGAGCACCTTGTGCGTATCAGAATCATCGAATTCTTTAGTGATAGTGGGATTGTATATAAAACCGTATGCGAATTACTAGTCCAATTGACGAGATCGAATTGACCCGATTTCATGACCTTTATAACCTCGGTGGTGGTTAAGATGGCCTCCTCTACGCTATCGACCGAGTACACGAAATCATCCATATACAAACCACTCTCAATTGCCTTCCTAGCCTTAGGATAAGAAGGACCCTCATCAGCAGCGAGCTGTTTCACCGTGCGTAGCGCATGAAATGGGCTCGACTTTAAACCAAAACAAACGTGATTAACTTCAAACACCCTTAGAGGTTTCTTTGGGTCAAAGCGATATAAAGTACGCTGAAATCAACGGTCGCATTCACGAACCCCTATGCAAATGAACATTTGGTGAATATCGGCGGATAATGCAATAAGAAACAATCGAAAATTTGTTATTATTTAAATAAGTTGCCCTGTCTGAAATTTTGCCTACTATAAAGAATATCGTTAAGAGAAAGGTGGGTGCTAGTTCTAGCACTAGCATCGAGCACTACACGTAACTTGGACGTAAGTTTGTCTTCCTTAATGACACCGTGATCTGGTATGAAATACGACGGCGTGTCTTCATAGTTATCTAATTTTGGAGCCGCAAGTGATATGTAACCCTCCCTTATATATGCATTAATGACACCGTCATAAGCTTCCTTCAATATGGGCAAAGCCAAAGTCTTGCGCTCCAAACAATAGAAACGTTTTTCTGCCATTTGACGCGAGTCACCGATAGACAAATATCCCCTTTAAAGGGTAGCACTATACTATATCGACCATCGCGATCATGAACGGTCGTGCGGACGTAAATTTCCTCGCGTAATCTATCTATCATCCGGGCCAAGTATAGGTGGAACGTTCACCTCCTCCATCTCCCAAAATTTGCGAACTAACGACTCGAGTGGTTCGACAGCCATACAACAATAGGAGGTTGCTGAAATATTATCCATGATGGGGGCGGAACCAATAATGACGTAACCCAAGACGGTCTCCAGTGCATAAGGTGCGGTACATGAAAAGTTGCCCCTGACCTTATTGTGTCACAAAAGGAGAGGGAAAACAGATGCTCCAATGAACATGTCTATATCTCCAGGGACGGCGTATCATCTACTAGAGTTAAATTATCAAAATTAATTATTGCTGAGGAGTTGACCTAAACGGTTGGCAGACGATCGGTGACCTTATCTACTACTAATGCATTTATATTAAAATTAATATCACGATCTAGACGAGAATAAAGTTTTAAATTTATAGAACCTTGTATAGTCTTATTGAAACCTCCAATTCCCTTTACTAAGGGACATAAAGCGTCTTACTCACTAACAATCCTAAACGTAGAGAGCATTGCCATGTTACGAAACTACTCTGCGACGCATTGTCTAGTAATGCACGAACACTCTGCTCGTTTCCATGCGAAACTCTAAAGCTACGATACGGGCTGTACCCAGCAACACAGTGGAAGGAGACCGCGTTCCCACGTTCGACAGTGAACACAGGGCGACGTCACCCAGTCGACTGTTGGAAGCGTCGACCTTAGTGGGTGGAGTTTCACTGTCCGATTTATTTAACGCGGATATGTTGCCACTCTCAAAGTGCAATAATGTATGGTGTCTGTTGTGGCATTTGTTACATACTGAACTAGAGTTACAGTGTACGACTTGATGTCTATCGCTTAAGCAGTTTAAACATAAGTTGTTCGTCTTTGCTATTTTTTAACGTTCGCTCGGTAAATGCTTACGGAAGGCCGCGCAATTATAAAAATTACCGTGTTGGTTAATTTTACATAAAACACAGACGATATGAGGCGATGAAGGCACGGTGTTTACATACGTCAGAGACTTAGCTCTCCTCGCTGATGAGATCGATCGATGTTCGGCGCACTTCTTCGCTTCGTGTTTGGCACTCGAGGAACGCTGTATTACTTTAATTTGACCTCGAACGAAAGATGCCAAAGATTGGAATGACGGCAACTCAGAGCTACGATTTTCCATTACAAACGCACGCACGGTGCCCGGGTCTAGCTTCTTTAATGCGATATGTAGAAACACAAAGTCCATAAGGTCATTAAATTTAAGATTTTTGAGCGCAGCTACTGATGTTACGAATTTATCCAAAAACTGCTCTAAGCCAGTGATATTCGTGGATGATATAACTTTAAGAGCGAATATCTGGTCTAGATATGAAGAGGCTAACATTCGCTTATCTTCGTATTTATTTTTAAGAGTTTCGAAAATCAACGAATAATTGTTTGCTGTTGGTGTGAAACCCGAATAAATGGACTATGCCCTACCCAACCTTTCAGCGTCCAATAACGATTGATTCTTATGTATAGTGTTTTGAAAGCTATTAATAAACAACGGCTAAGTTTTAATATCCCAATTAAATACCGGGATATCTATAGGGACAATCTAAGTGATTCACGTGGACGTACCTGGATTTCTGGTTTTACTTCGCTCTGGGCTGGGGGCCTTTTGGAGAACTTTGCCATCCTTTTTATGCGACACAATATGTCTTCAAACGATAGAAATGATTGGTAATTCACTGTATACTTAAGAACGATTTGCAGTTTTAAATTATTAATTTTGTCTATTATATTCTCGTAATCCGATCTCAAGGAGGCCACTGTTTCAATTTCACATAAAAACGTCTTCCGCTCTGAATCTACGTTAATATTTTTTATGTGATCACTTATGTATTATATACGTGAGAAAAGTACGTCCCTCTTGGCGTAAAGAGTTTTAAGTTTAATTTCATTTCCACTTACTGACACATTGTGTCACTCTAATTAATATTAAATTATCACGAACAATATCGTACGATATTGGAAGACGAAAGTTTCACAATACATTAATGTTTATTAGTGGCGTATCACGCTTCCACTAAACGACGTTAAATTAAACACTTTATCCGGATTATTTTTTCTTGTGCGAAGGTACCTTGCTAAAAATGAGATAAAACACGCGAAGACTAGTTGTGGCGACCGGGAAAAATTTAGAATGCGTCATTTGTATAAATATTACGAATAACAGGATTAGGTAAACAGAAAACTACAGCGGGTCAAACTAAATAAATAAATAAGCATCTATGAGAATAAAGCTACAAATAAATTTCATTTTTAAAATTCAACGTAATCATAATGCTAAGCGAAGCTAAATCTATCCAATGTTAACAAACTGAAGTGCATTGTCTGGGGAAATAGTTCAGTAGTTCGACTCGATGAGGCCACATTAAACTGATTTACAAAACAAATATGTAAGTACTAAATTTTATCAATGTTACCTATAGCACATTTTTTTAAGAAACGATTTATCAATTCTCTACTTAAAGATTTTGTAAGCATTTCAGCAGGTTGATCATTTGTTTTAACATAATTTAAACATATCATTTTATTTTTAATTAATTCTTTAATAAAATGGTAACGGATATCAACATGTTTTAATCGTTTAATAGTATCAGTACATGCAGCAGATATGGCTGACTGATTATCAAGGAGTTAATTGAGGACATATATTATTTATTTTGAAATCTTGTAACAAATTAACAAGCCAACAGGCTTCACTGGCTGCCATACTAATGGCAATATATTCAGACTCTGTAGAAGATAAGCTAACAGAATTTGAAGCCTGTAGTTGATTTTCTATCATTGAAATCCCCTCCCCAGTCTGCATCACAATATCCCTCCAAAACATTATCTGTACATTTACAAACTAACTTATAGTCTAAAGTATGTTTGACATAACGCATTACTCTTTTTAATGCACTTAATAACATATTATTTGCACATTTTTGATATCTACTTAATAAAGAAACAGTAAAACATAAGTCAGGCCAGCATACTTTAGACATCCTATCATCTGTCGACTACTCTACTGTATTGTTTTGGTTTTGAAAAAACTTTAGGTTAATATTTGGGCCAATTGGTGTAGACATTGGTTTACAATTTTCCATTTTAAATCTTTTGAGGACATTCTCTAAATATTTTCTTTGGCTTAGTTCAGTAACTTTGTGTCTAAATTTTGTATTGTATTTATGCCTAAGTAATCCCTTACATATCCTAAGTCTTTTATTTTAAATTCCTGACATTATAAATTTTTTAGCTGCTTTACTGAGTTACCACTTGTTCCAAATATTAAGACATCGTCAACATACAATAGTAAATAACTTTGATCACTATCAGTGCACTTTCTATAAAGACAAGATTCACAATTAGATCTAACAAAACCTTCTTTAAGGAAAACAGTGTTGAATTTAATATTCCAGCACTTAGGTGCATTTTTGAGACCGTAAAGTGCTTTTTATAATTTTACAATATCCTATGTAAGCTCCTTCAGACAATTTTACATAAACATTTTCATTAATATTTCCATAGAGAAACGTTACATCCATTTGAATTATAGGTAAATTAAGTTTAGTTGCTATTGCTACAAATAACATAACAGTTGACAATTTTGCAACTGGAGCATAACAGTCATTTAAGTCTAAAATATCATCCTGTTCGAACCCTCTCGCTACCAATCTAGCTTTATATTGAGGAAAATCCGAATCTCCCCTTTTAATTTTAAATACCCACTTACTACTCACAAGCTTTTCATTTTCTGGTACATCACATATTTCCCAAGTATTATTTTCTTCTAGTGTTTGCATCTCTCTATCTATCGCCTCTTTCCATTTGCTGCTGTCACTTCTCATCATAGCCTCACCATAAGTGACAGGTTCACATTGTTCGGTATGCACATTTTGGCACTGATAGTAAACAGGTGGCTTCCTAATTCGTTTGCTGCGTTCTCTTTGGCAGACCTCATCAATTGGTTCGACTGAGCTGTTACTTGATTCACTTGGACTGTATTCAGATCCAGACTCTTCGGACATACTCGCAATCACCATAGTTTCATCGAGATTCGCTGATGTAGTTTCCGATTAATTATGCAACTCATTACTTTTGTCATTATTTTCTTCCGTATAGTTAAATTTTACCTCGATTTCACTATAGTTTTGCTCTTTTTCTAAGAAAACTACATCTCGTTTGAGTTCTACATCATTCCTATGTGAGAAGTATATTCTATATCCTTTAACAGTTTCGCCATAACCAACCATTACTCCTTTTTCTCCTTTGCTATCCCACTTCTTTCGCTTTTCTTTAGGAATGTGTGCATACATTGGTGTTCCAAATTGTTTTAACAGATGAATGTCAAATTATTTTCCAAACCACACCTCATATGGTGATTTTTCACTGTCTTTACTTTTTCCAGTCCTGTTCAAGACAAATGCTGTTGTGTTTACAGCCTCAGCCCACAATGATTTTGGTAAATCCTTGCATGCATTCAGCATTGTGCGAGCGGATTCGACCGGCATTCGATTCTCTCGTTCTGCTTTTCCGTTCTGCTCTGGGGTGTAGGGGATACTTGTTTGATGTATTATTCCGCGTTTAGTAACGATATCTTTAACCTCCTTATTTATAAACTCAAGACCATAATCAGTTCTGAAGATTTTTACCTTATTTCCAGTCACATTTTCTGCCTTGTTAACGAAATCTTCAATAGAGTACTTTATATTAGACTAATTCTTGAGAAAATACACCGATCTATAGTTTGAGAAGTCATCTTTCAATATTACAAAGTACCTTGAACCGCCAACTGACGTAACCTCCATAGGGCCGCAGGTATCTGCGTAGATTAATTTACACGTTTTTGTGGTGACTTTTTCACTCTTCCCAAACGGCAATGTATGTATTTTCCCTTCTAGACAATTCTCACATTTTGTAGCCGAAGTTTGTTTCACGTCAATGTTATTTTTCAACAGTACCTTTCTTAGATAATCAAAGTTTTGGTGTACTAATATTTCGTGCCACTCTTGCAATGTACTTTCAACTTTCTTAGCCACATTAGCCACTTTGTTTTTATAACGTAACTCCAAAAAATACGAACTTCCAACTCGTTTTGCAATTGCACAAACTTTATTGTTTTTATAAAACTGACACGACCTGTCATCTGTCAATATAACGTATCCTTTGTCCGATGCACAGTTTACGGAGAATAGGTTTATTTTCAATTCCGGCACGAACAGAACTTTGTCTATAACTGTCTGTACCTACTCAGTACCGTCATACACCTCTACTGCCATCTGTCCGTAGCCTAGAACACTAATCGCCGCTCCATTACCGACAATATCAGACTGTTGTTCAATGTCGGTAAATGATGTAAATAATGCACGATCACGGCACATGTGTTCACTGGCCCCTGAGTCCACTAACCACTGAGATTGACAATATTCTTTTAATGAGTTTGACATCACGAATGCGTTACTTTTATTGTTACTATTCTTACGTTCTTTGTTCTTCTTAAACCAGCACTGTGACTTTATGTCCACTCTTGCCGCAACGAAAACACTTGTTATTCTGCCCTTCACTTTTCATGTTACTTTTACACTCGCTGAGGTAATGTCCCATTTTATTGCATTTAAAACATTTTATATTCTTCTTATCCTTAATCAGAAATGCAGATGAGCTTGAAGGTGAACATTGTCTATTTTTCTCTTTCAGCCTAAATTGTTCAATGTTTGTTTATTGTCCGGGGCTGACTCACAAGGCGACACAAAATGCTTATAATCATCTGGTAATGACATTAATACTTTAGTTATCACAAACTTGTCAGAAACTTCTTCTCCCATTTGTTTAAGCTGATTTTATAATTCCTGGATTTTTGATAAGAATATTGAAATTTCAATGCCTGTTTCAAACTTATATTGAAAGAAGCGCTGTTGAATTATATGGATGTTTGTTTCTGTTTTTTGCTCATACACACTTTGCAGCTTTTTCCAAATTTCAGATGAAGTAGAACACGAAATAATACGAACATTACATTTTCTGTCATCCTTGTGACTAATAGCGTTTGTGCCTTCGCGTCTTTATTCTCCCAAGCGGTTTGTTCAGTGGGATCTTCGGGTTTTAAAGTTCTTCCTTTGACAATATCCAACCAGCCTTGACCTCGTAGCAAAACTGTAGTTTGAAACTTCCAGATGTTTCAGTTGTTAGCTCCTTCCAGCTTCATCAAGCTGTTATTTGTGTTTAGATTGACTTCCATTTCGCTATCCTGTCTTACGATCCACGTCGAAAAGTGACTTTTTACTATCTCCACGTTGCCGTGCAAACTTAACCTCACTTTCAAGCCACACATGTAACGCGAATGTTATTTTGACGGTAAGTTCCTCATTTTTTATTTTATTACTTTTTGTTCATGTGCCTGGGCCCATAACCTATTGAAATAAAATAAATAACGCAGTTTTATAAACGTAAATGGTTTTTATTTGAACACCTTGTGCACACCATGAAAATTTATATTGAAGAGACAGGGTTACCAACACCAAAAATTAAATTAAGGTGAAATTACATTGCCATATTCTAACAGGGAAGAACGGACACTGGCGATCAATATACCCCCGAACAAAGTTATGAAAATACCCGATTCTTTTTTCCGCGCAATCACCGGTATTAGGTAAGAAGGTGATTACCCAGACGATCTCGCAGACAGAAATGAGTCTTAACACTTAATTCACAAATAAACTTAAAAAAGTTATATGTATGTTATAATTTTCCAAATTTAATTGTACAACAAATTTTTTTTTGAGAATTCGTTTTGTTATTAAAATACGCTTCTCTAAATTAAGAGGATTTACTTCAAATGACGAGTTTAAACCTTTACTTACCCATTGCGTATAAAGTAAAAAAAAATTGTTTGTTTATAAAAATTATTTGCTTATATTTTGTCTTGTAACAATTTCTAAAAGGAGGATGGCTTGGCCATATTTAATTGTCATATTAGTTCTAGTTTTTAGTGTTCATATTAGTATTAGATTAATTGACTTGGACTTTTATATTTGAAAAAATTCAATTTATTACCAATAAAAAAAAAACGGAAAAAGATGGATAGAAAATAGAAGAAATATCCTTGTGTCAGTAAAAATTGTAGTAAAATTAATAGTAAAGTACAAAATGTACAAGGTCCAGGCGAAATTGGTATAAAGAGGCAGTTTTTATTTTCCTTCGGTTGTATATACCCTTATTAAACCTACACCCCGTATAAAAAACATTACTGAAAACGACATTTATGAAATATAAAATGCTAAAAAATTATACTACCACGACAAAAGTAAAGGAATATTTTTGTAAAAAAATTAATAAGGTATATATTTAATGAAGTAGAGCAACCTTCACGTGCGATCTCGAACGCATTTATGCATGGCGGAGAGCGCCCCCTCTAATGGCTGGGAATGTAAAACAGCAACGCTAGACGGAAGCCTTAAGAAAGGTTTAGTGGATGGTGGTGGCTCACTGACTGACTGACCGATTATCAAAACTCTAAGGCACTTCTAGCAGACATAGAAGCTTCAAATATAGAATACAATTAGCGTTTAATGTGTAAAACTAAAATATTTTGCAATTTCCGTCCAGTTTTCTAGATACACCAACTGCATAAAGAACTTTGTAATCCCATATAAATATATAGGATTACAAAGTTATATTTGCAGTAAATGAATCAGTGTACATAAATAAGTATAATATGATGGCATAATAAGTGTAGATAGGTACGTTGTTGGTATTCAAGAAGAAGAAGGTACCGGAAAGGAAATAAGTAGGTCTATCTACAAAAAGAAAAGAGATGCCATCAAAAACATAAGTTGTAAAAAAGCCAAGTCTTGCAAGTCAACTAACTTCTACCGTAAAAAGTTGTGAGATCCATGTAATACCAAGTCGGTCAATTTATTCAGTCCCTACTTAAGATTTGTTCTGTTTAAAGTTATTACGTAATTAGCTAACCTAACAACATCTTATAGTTACCATATCAATATTAAAATCTTATATGTTTTAAATTAATAAATTGACTAGGCAATCCCACTAAACAATCTAATATAATATAATACTCGTATGTATTTATGTATTTAAAATCATTAACTTAGTCGTGTGCCACGCATGACGCGTCGCTTATATGCTACTAGCGTAGCATATGACTAAGTCTTTCACTGATGAGACCATAAGGCTTTGAATTAAATTACCTCCACATAATAGGGATCCGACAACTTCTGTTGCTCCCTTTGAAAGAATGGTGTCTGATCATTACCTTTCTTCCTCCAGTGGCTAACTTTATTAAATGTTTCTGTTTATGTATGCTTATGTAAGCTAAGTGTATCGTTCCATCACACATTTTTATTTAGTAAATGCTGCAAACTACTTTAGCCGCGTGTCGCGTGTATTTAATTTTACTTATTTAAGAGCCTTATTACATTTCGCAAATTTAGGTATTTACGCCCCGAGCGGGCGATGACCTACGCGAGCGACACTTTATTTTATATCTTTTTAATCGATCGCAATACGATACTGTGAGCATAGCGACTAAAAGATCTTGATCTTTTATTATACAAGTTTTCTTAGGATGGAGTTCAGGGGATGGAAATTTTTTATGTTATCTATTTAATTTATTACAATGTATTTGATATATTTTTTATAGGATAGGGTGACAAACGACCACACAGTCCACTTGATGGTAAGTGCTTGCCCATAGACATCTACACCTGTCCTCGATTACGAATCAAAATGCACCCGTGGGGACTAAGATGGAATGCCTCGTTTCCAGTAAAACGGGTCTCCGGTTCTCTACACTCACCATACTGTTATATATATATATATATAATATATATATATATATATATATATATATATATATATATATATATATATATATATATATATATATATATATATATATATATATATATATATATATATATATCGAAATCGAATGGCAACGCAGATGCATTGTCAAGAAGACCTTATCCTGCTAAATGAAGGAATAGTTCTAGGCATCTATGAGGATGCTCAGGACAGACCACCTCAGCAAAGAGTGGAAGGACAGCTTACAACATGCACAGCAGGAAGATCCGGACATCAAGCCGATTCTGCAATGGATGAAGGCCAGTGCTTCCAAGCCCAAATGGAGCGACGTCTCAGCGATGAGTTCGACCACTAAAAGCTTTGGGCCCAGTGGGACAGCTTGCTACTTCAGGATGGAGTATTGTGCCGTAATTGGGAAAATGGTCGACGAGACAACTGTCGTTTGCAAATGGTTGTCCCTAAAGCTAAAGTGCCGGATGTTCTACAGCTGTAC